ATGTTTTATGTCCAAATATGACAAATGATACATCATTAGAAAGCTCTTGTGCTCTACTTTTAGAATCTGCAAAAAAATTGCAAATTTGCAAAAATTGAAATTTTTATCGCAAAATCCAGTTATAGAGTAAAAATGTTTGCAAAAAAAAATTTGTCCAAAAAATGAAAAATTATACATTTTTGAAAAGCCCTTGACCATGCCATGATTTTTAATGAAGAAAAACAAAAAATGTGCAAATTTCCTTTAACACGTTGTTTGCAAAAGATTTGCAATTTTATCAAAATCAGACAAGTGAAAGTGGGTCAAAACAAAGATTTAGTTTGTTACAGGCAATACAGTCATTCAGGCAGTGTGCCTGAGGACTCAGACAGTTAGTATTAAAGCCCTGTTTTAGGCCTAAAGGGAGGGCTTTGGGTATATAAGAAAAGTCAGAAAATTTCAACAGCCTCAGACCAATATTTTTTGAGTTATGTAAAAAAAAATACAGGGGGGTCAAATTGACCCCCCCCCCCCCTCCAGCAGGAATAGGGTTAAGTATACATAAAGACGAAAAATAATACTCCGCTTTGATTACCGTGTGTGAGAGTAATTGTTTCTTTGTCTGCGAACGAGAAGCGTTCTGAATCATTTTCTTGAAAGATAGAAATAGATTAGGAATTACATTGAGTTTTATCTTGTAAGACAGATATACTTGAGAATACAGACTGAGAGGAACCTCGAGTTAAAGATTGAATTGTGCCTGGATTGGTATTGGTCTAAAAGTATTTATTGGAGTAGGGCATTTTGTACTGCAAACCATCGGGATCTAGCCTGTGAGTTCTTGTAATTTTACGCATTTGTAAAAAACTCATAAATTTTTTTACAGAATTTTGAAGAAACCTTCAAAATACATAAATAAAGTACCACAAGTCCAAGCAAAGATTTTTTCATTATGGGTTCTGCATTTCATGTGACCACATAAAATGAAACCAACTTTTCATTGCCTAAATATCAAAAATCTTTTTGAGGCTGTATTTTGCGAGACAAACAAGTGCAACCTTTTTTATAAAAGGAATAAAAAAGAATATAATTCTATATTTTTTGTTTAATCTGTCTCGTTTCAGCCGAAGTTTCTTTACCTGCCGAAAAAATCACTGTTCCAATTCAAGAAGTTTTAATATTAGCACCTTCAGTTTAAATTTTTGATTAGGCATTCCAAAATTGCGTGTAAAAGATAAACTAGTTCAGATAATATCAACATATTTTACTTTTGTTTAATTTTTGATTTAGGTTAGGTTTTTTTTCAGAAAATATTTTTTCAAAAAAATATTAATCTGCTCTATAATAGTACAACAGCTTGCAGCAGAACAAATCATCGCAGAACCAGGTTTAGTCAAATTCGTTGAAATAGAAGAAATTGATGGAATCGGCCAGATCGACGATATGAAATCTTGTGAACTCAACCCAATCTTCACCAACCATTTTAAGAGAGAAAAGATAATTTTATAATTAAGTTTACACATGTTTTAAAGATAATTTTCTCCCTTAATTCATGGTATCCTTTTTTATCCTATGGAAAAAAACAGCGTTTTATAGTATGTAGTATTGGTAGTATTACTACGAACGTTGGAAACGACCCCTCCTCTCCCTCATGTTTCTTAACAACAGCGCGTGTTTATACTATTCCAGGTCTCAATTATTTCTAATCTTTTCAACATCGAGCTTCTTAGAATTATTAACGTAATTTTATTGATTTCAAGTGAAATATTGAATGATATTAAATAGACCATTAATCAATTATCTGATATTAAAAAATAAGGATTATTTAGAAATGTTTTTTAAAGAAGCTTATTATCATCATTATTTTTTTATAGGGAAACATACAATAATATTTTTCATTAATTTTACATATTAAATGATTTTAGGGAACTGTACTTTAATTTACAGATATTGTTGTGAATTGTGGAAAGAGAAAACTTCAGCTCATTGTTATTCAGATAACATTTTAAAGGGTAGTGTTGTGATTTGGGCATTGCTCTCTTCAAATGGAAGGTTTACTTCAAATTACGTTTACAATCCCTTTAAAGGGACCGTTCACTTATTTGGGTAATTACCTTTAATAATCTGAAAATTTATCTAAACTATCTCAAGGTCTGGAAAGAGTACTCCGAACCCTTGATTATCTACTACAGATTCCGGATATAACAAAAGATTCAGACCTAGCTTTGGGGGTCAACCTATACCGGTAGGTTGGAAACCCATTAGGACCTTATTGTACAGGGTTAACCAAAAAGAATAAGACTTAAGAGACGACTGTACGGAATTCATATGGTCTATAACCATATTTTCATAACTTCCGTCTAACTATAAACTTATTTCTTTCTTTGGCAAAACATTAGATAGTCCGTTTAAAGCTGCAGCTGGATCTGGATCCGAATCCTAAGCACTGATGATAACATTTGTAATAAAAGCCCCAGGATTTAATTTTCCTTTTTATCCTGACAAGTTATAAGGACACTTAAAAATGATTTGCTAAACCCTATATTTTTGCAATCCCATGTCGTAGACTTTAGTATTTCACACAATGAATTCTGTTAGATCAATAATTCTAAGTCTGAGATGTCAAAGATATAGGGTTTAGATAATTTGTGCTAAGAACGTTTAAAGAGTGTAACAAAGAAATCCGTATCAATATTGCTAAAAAATTGACTAGTTATGCTTTAGGACTAGATTGACTTTATTATATAACTTTCAAATTTTTCAACAACGTTTAAACTAAAAAGTTTGAAAAAGGAATTGATTTTTTGTTACAAACTCTGATTTTTGAATACCTACATATTGGAAACACAATGTCGTAGACCTTTAACATTTCAAACTATTAATTCTGGTAGATCTAATAATCTAAGTTTGAAATATCAAAGGTTTTCAAAACCATGTTGCAAAGATATAGGGATTTTAAAATCTTAGTTTTTGGCAAAGACATTCCTTTAACAACAACTGTACAATTTACTGTAAACGATTTTAGTTTTGACTATATTATATAACATTCAAATTTTTCAATGACTTTTAAACTAAAAAGTTTGAGAAATTAAACAACATACTGTACAATTCTTTATGTACTGTAAAGGGTAGACGTGAAAAAAAAAAACATTTTTTTGTTAAATATTGACAATTTTTTGTTGAAAATAAGCGAGTTTTTGTTGATTATAAGAGATTTTTTTGTTAAACTAAAACGATTTTTTTTAAAATAAGCGATTTCGTTAAAAAAAAGCGTTTTTGTGTTAAAAATAAGCGATTTTTTTTGTTGAAAATAAACGATTTTATGTCGCTTATTTGGCAGCCACCAACTTCTTCTGCAATATAAGCGACTTTGTTGAAACAAAGCGATTTTTTTAAATAAGCAATTTAGGTTAAGCGACGTTTTGTCGCCTAATTGGGTGCCATCCAACTTTTTCATCCGATTAGACGACTTTTTATCGCTTGATTACGACTTTTTAATATAGAGTGTGGTGACTTAATGTACCCTGGGACAGTCGAGGATGAAGAGTTTCAGGTCGTCTTTACAGTCGCATTCGTTGTAAGTAACCCTGTACGTTTCCGCTAATATTAGGCAAAAACTTTTTTTTTGCACAACATTTTTTTATTTGAAGCTGGCTTTAAAATCTGTTATATGCTACGGTAAGTTCCATTCAACTTTGGCATTTCAAGACGAACTTTGATCAATTTTATGTGAGTTTGTTTTTGTTTTTTGTTATTTTTTGTTACTTTGTTATTTTTATTTTTCAACTTATATCTCAACTTATAACATGAATTGGATATGAGTACACTGCAGTCTGCACAATTTCTGTGTATCTGTTGTCTTCCTATTATTCCACAGTGTTATGGGTCTCACTGTAGGTATTTGTGAACCTAGCTATAAGATCTATAGCCGGCCCAGTGGATGAGAATAAAGAAATATTCTCCTTGGATTTCTACTTCAGACAAACCTGGACGGATGAAAGATTAAGGTAAAATCATATGAAGATGCAGAGATCCTCACAAAATATGAAAATATGGATTAAGGATACTGGGTAAAATATTGATGATAAGAATAAGGATAAGAATAATGATACAGGGTTTCCAATAAAGAATACGAAGGTTACGAATAAGTATCCAGGGTTATCCACATAGAATGAGTATAAAGATTCAGGGTTGCCCAAAAAATAAGGATAAAGATACAGGAATATCCGCAAAAGATAGGAATAAGAATACAGGGTTAGAATAATTAAACAGGGATCCTCAGAAAGAATGAGATTACGAAAACAAGGTTGCCCCGACATAGAATGTGAATAAGAATACGATATACGGATTGTAGTCAGCTTCATTGCATTAATTGATGAATTCTTGCAACATAAACAAATTAGTAATTTATAATTTTATGAAAAAAATATAAATTTTCCGAAAAAATTGAAATTACGATGGTTTTACATATTTTTCCCGGTCTTCTATGCTCAACGTTTCTATGAATATACAAAAAAGATAAACCCCATTATTTAGTAAACAGGAGATCGCGAGTTCGAATCTCGCTGGTGCCTTGGACTCACCCTTTTGTTGTAAACAGGTACTGAGAATAAAATTTTCTTCAAAAGAACACAATTTTCTTTAAGATTAAAGGTTACAAACAAGAAAAATGCAGCGACCCGGGATCGAACCGGGGACCTTTAGATCTTCAGTCTAACGCTCTCCCAACTGAGCTATCACAGCCTGTTGGAGATTGCAACCCTCGTAGGAAATTCGTATGTATTATGTATCAATAAACCATATCTAAATATTCTTCGTTTGTTTATTTTTGTTTGAGATTGATTAGATATTAGTTAAAGATATTTAATCTCCGGTTTCTATTCCTAATGAAAAAGATGATGTTTCATTGATAGTGTGTTTGTTTGTTTTTATAAGTTTTTCTATTTTTAAAATATTAAAACAGCGGTACACAAAATTAAGAATAAAGGTGGAACAGTTTAGGCATAGCGGCCTTTTATCTTTTGGCTTTATGAACGTGAAAAATGTTGAGTAAAGAAAAATTAATATTTATCCGGTTCCATATAGTCAAAAAAACGGATACAATTTCGCTTTTCTAGAAAACTAGATACGGTTCATCTTTTCTAGAAAACTAGATGTGGTTCAGCTTTTCTAGAAAACTAGATACGGCTCATCTTGTTTAGAAAACTAGATACTGTTCAGCTTTTCTGGAAAACTAGATACGGTTAAGCTTTTCTAGAAAACTAGATACGGCTCATCTTGTCTAGAAAACTAGATAAGGTTCATCTTGTCTAGAAAACTGGATACGGTTCAGCTTGTCTAGAAAACTGGATACGGTTCAGCTTGTCTAGAAAACTAGATATGGTTAATCTTGTCTAGAAAACTAGATACGGTTCAGCTTTTCTAGAAAACTAGATAAGGTTCAGCTTGTCTAGAAAACTAGATACGGTTCAGTTTGTCTAGAAAACTGGATTCGGTTCAGCTTGTTTAGAAAACTGGATACGGTTCAGGTTGTCTAGAAAACTGGATACGGTTCAGATTGTCTAGAAAACTGGATACGGTTCAGCTTGTCTAGAAAACTGGATACAGTTCAGCTTGTCTAGAAAACTGGATACGGTTCAGCTTGTCTAGAAAACTGGATACGGTTCAGATTGTCTAGAAAACTGGATACGGCTCATCTTATCTAGAAACTAGGAATGATTAAGCTTTTCTAGAAAAATGGATACGGTTCAGATTGTCTAGAAAACTGGATACGGCTCATCTTATCTAGAAACTAGGAATGATTAAGTTTTTCTAGAAAAATGGATACGGTTCAGCTTGTCTAGAAAATTAGATACGGTTCAGCTTATTTAGAAACTGGATACGGACCAGCTTGTCTGGAAAACAAGATACGGTTCAGCTTGTTTAGAAAACTGGAAACATCGAATCCACCCAAAGGCCAATTCGACCGTGACAATTATGTGATTATTATTTCTAGATACAACACTACAGGACTGAATGAGCTGGCCTTGAATTAGGCTTTTCTAGCAAAAATCTGGAAACCCGACTCTTTCTTTCTAAATGGGAAACAATCTTTTCTTCATAAGATTACAGTACAGGTTTAACAAGATATTTATCATCCTAATTTCTTAAGACAAAATATCATTTTTATAGTAATAATTAAACAATTAAATAAATAACAAAATCACAGAAAATAAAGATTTGTTATTTCATCTTAAAAATTAGTTTTACTTTTATATTTGTCTAGATAAGTCCATCCGGAAAACTAGTTTTATTGTTTAGATTTGTCCGGATAAGTCAATCCGGAAAACTAGTTTTATTGTTTATATTTGTCCGGATAAGTCCATCTGGAAAACTAGTTTTATTGTTTAGATTTGTCCGGATAAGTCCATGTGGAAAACTAGTTTTATTCTTTAGATTTGTCTGGAGAAGTCCATCTGGAAAACTAGTGGAGTGGAGTGGAGTGGAGTGGAGTGGAGTGGAGTGGAGTGGAGTAGAGTAGAGTAGAGTAGAGTAGAGTAGAGTAGAGTAGAGTAGAGTAGAGTAGAGTAGAGTATGAGAAAGAAAAAAGGGATACCTTTTTATTGTTGTTTCTATATATAAGTGATTTCGGATTTAATGTAACAGAGAGAAAAAGCATGATTTGTAGGTAGATGCTGAACTCCAACCTTTGAGTGTGCGAGGTGGGGATGACTTCACTGGAGATTTTACTTTTGTACATGACCACTTTTTCAACAATTTTCAATTAAATTAGTATTTATTTAGGGTTAGGTTAGGTTAAGACACTTTCTGGGCCGAGCGCTGCGGCTAGCACAGGCTAGGGAGCCGAGCGCTGCGGCCACGGGTTAGGTTAAGTTATGCCACTTTCTGGGCCGAGCGCTGCGGCTAGGATTCAATCTCGATCTACAAATGTCATCCCCCCTTACATGTAATTAATTTTAATTAAGCGAAGTCTTCCCTACCTCGCACACTCAAAGGTTCGAGTTCAGGGTCTGCCTGATTTGTAGAATACTCTTGAATTTGACAGTGACTTGAAATTACGTCTCTAACCCGTGTAACAACAATTTAACAAAAAGACCTATTTCATCAAGGTACTAATGCAAAGAAAGTTAATTTCGGTAACGTATACTCTGCGTACATATTGAAACCAGTTCTCTCTGGGCGGAATTTGTAAACAAGAATAGATGCATCAGTACACTGCAGTACAAAAATTGCGTACACACTTACTTGCATTAGATACCTTGCAAAGAGCTTTGTAATATAAAGAGTAGGCATTGGGATTTATACGCAAAACCAGACGCCTCAATTAGGCTCAATAAGAAGCCAAAGAATGTCGTCTTTTCTATAAATTAAAACGGTTTTAGAACTTTTTAGGCATTTCCATCAACAAAAACTTGCGTTTTTTACGTAATTTGCCGCAAGAAATACATAACTTTATTATCTTTTTACATAAACTTTATCTTAAAACAGATTGCAATGTAATTGGTTTAATAAAATTGACCACTTAAAACCAAGGTTTTTTCGGGCCTTGCTCACGTTACTGGCCTAAAATTCGGCTTTAGACTATAACAAAACTATACTTAATGACATTCTAACAAATTTTGTTTCAAAATATGTGGTAATTTTCATACAAATGAGATGCGTAACAAAATCACAATTTTAGCTTTATTTTAGCAGGAGAGCACCCTATCCTATAACCGAGTAAAACAAATTTAGAAGTTTATAACCGTGTCGTTATTTTCCCACCATTTTTAGCACCTATAATGATTAATTTATTTGATAACTAGAGTTTTAATGTTGATTGTTTGAATTTAAAACCAATACTGCAGCCAATGATGTCGTATAAAAGTGTACAGAGCATACACACTTTACGGATAAATTCCTAATGCCCTATCTTCTACTATTCAACCGTCTTTAAATACCTTGTATTTCATTTTAAACTATTATTGTTAAAGTTCAAATGTCTCTCCATTTAAGAAGTCTCTTCTCCATAAATCAGAAAATCGCAATAGAAAACAATCTCCAGTATTGTTGCCCTGATATATAGTTTAACAGATTCTGTTCTGAATCGGTCCTTTCATCCCTTTTCACGTCAAACTAAAGTAAATTGACGATAAGATTGAAATCGGATACTGTCTGAAGTCTGAAGCGGCCCAAAGTCTTGTCAGTATAAAGTCGAATAAATTTGACCTTCTTCTGTCTTGTTTCCAATATCAGGTCACTTGAAATCCCTTCAAAGGAATTAATTCGAATTTTGATTTTCTCTGTTCCGTATATCTTCGCACCCCCAAAGTCATAGACCTGTATTTCAAACTATGAATTCTGTTAGATCAAATTACAGCTTTAGGTTCCAATGATACAAGGATTAGAAAATTTGAATTTGTGGCAAAGACTTACAGAGCGTCCCATATCATATTAGATTAGCTCTAATCTTTAACGACAAAATAAACCCTTAATACTCGAAAACCTTATCATTTTCCGCAAGAAAATTATTATATAAGCCTTATGTTATTTTTCAAATTGATTTATTCTAATTAAATTTTCTTATTAGTCCCGAAAATCGCAATTTAGACCTGTTGACGGTCTAATATGATGTGGGACACCCTGTAGTTCCAGATTCAACTATTGTCGATGAACAGATGTCGGCTTTATATTCCAATTAACCACATTTTAAAGATGTAAGCAATTGTCTTTTACGGAAGGTTTGAGAAACGACTCCACTGTTCAAATAGATCTCTTTTTTGATCTCTTTTTACTCCAGATCTATACTCCACTTACACTCATCATATTCTGCTCTTGGGTCTCATTCTGGCTCGTCAAAACAGAGTAGGTCAGTTGAACAAATTTAAAATTTCCTTGGATCTTGTTTTAAACTTTTTTAAACCCTGTTTGAAAAGCTAGGATGTAATTCTTGCATGAATGTGGAACATGATTATTTTGGTTCCAATATTATTTTATATGGTTGATATTGTATATTGTGTTATCTAAAATTCTGTGATGGTAATGGACCAAACCTCTGTAGAGTAAAAAAAAAACAACCATTAAAATCGATAAAAAAAATTTTAATTGTTAAGAACCACAAAAAAGATTATAAAACAAAAATTTTGCTGTCAAATGGATTATGAGATGAAAAAAGATAATTTGCGAATATTCACTTAAAAAACATGTGTTTTAAGACAATTATTATTCCTTGAGGTAGTTTCTGTCACAAAGATTATGATGTTATGTTAGCTGTATGAGTATAAAGTGGTGGTGGGGGTCGATCTATTTAACGAACTTTTACGTAAATCTGGGGGAGGGGGGGTCAACCTATATGAAGCATAAAGTCTGACTGCACCAACCTTGTTGCACCAGCTAGTCCTATCCATAGAGCTAGGTACAGTACAAACTGGGACCGGAAAGGTTGACCCGGCTCGGAAATTCAAATGTACTACGGCTGCCCGTGATCTACACAAATCTGTAGTCTTGGGAATTTCATTCAACTCTAACAGACGAAATTCTAGCTTCTCAATGGGTATCACATGTATATTAAAATCATTTAAAAAGAAGATCTCGAAATCTTCATCCATTTCCAATGTTTATTGAGACACCCTGTACCAAAAGTCGTTGAAGAGATAAAACTTCAAATCCCTAAATATCTGTTATACATACTGTTAGATTCTAAGTGAAGTTACAAATGTCAAAGTTGTACACCAGCAGGTTAACACAAAAATATAGGGATTAGAAAATTATAGTTTATGATAAAAATACAAACAAACATCCAGACAAACAGAGATTGATATACTTTTTAAATATACAATTGGGTACAAATATAAAACATTATATCTATATATAAATTTGGCTTGTCTGTCTGTTTGTATCCAATAAACGTCAAAACGGCTTAACCGATCGGGCCCAAATTTTTGTGGGACATCTAGGGACCCCCGGGAAGGTTTATGAATGATTGAAATTTTAAATATTTGTCTCCATCAAAATTCGATCTTCATTAGATTTTTGAAAATTTTGAAAATCCACGAAATTTTTTGTGAAAATCCGCGAATTATTTTTGTTTTGTTTTACGATGTACACAAAGAGAACATGTTCACAATTAATTTAGAAGATGGGCGCTAAGCGCCCTCTAAGGCTAGTACGTTTATAACTATAGTTCTGAACACACGAATAAAACATTATATACGTTTATAACTATAGTTCTGAACATGTGAATAAAATATTATATACGTTTATAACTATAGTTCTGAACACGTGAATAAAATATTATATTCGTTTTTAACTATAGTTCTGAACACGTGAATAAAACATTATATACGTTATTCCTAATGCTATTCACTCATAAATGTAATTTTATTTTATTAATCTAATCACAAGCAATTCTGAGTAAAACATTAGAAACTATCGAACCAAGATAATTGGATTCTTCATTATACATATTGTTTATTAAATACACATTTTGTACACAAAAATTACACTGCTACTCCGCTGAACCAAAACAAACTGAAACCAGTGGATCTTTAACCTATCCACTAGTGCAGACCACGAACTTCAATTTAGATCTAGGCATACCTTATTAATTTAGTCTAAGATAGTAAAATCTGCAAAGAAATTTTATCAATATAAGATTCTGTGTAATCCCAATGCATATCATTCCCTATACGCATACTACAATCGGTTTGATCAGTTTTATGTTCCAAATCACGATCGTATACTTCTTAATAATGCATAATTCTTCATAGTACTATCCATGGTAAATAATACATACCTCAATTACATCAATTGAATGCTAATGACCAATCTATACTAAAATCCAGTGGGACAGATAATATAAGTATAAATACTTAGAATAATGAATGTTGGTATCTGATGGTAAACTGGCACAATGTCGGTTGTCTGGTTGCTTGAAAATTACACTAATAATAATATTCTCTAAGTAATACGTTGACTCACTGCAAATCGTAAACCCAGTCTAAAATTTCGATCAAGTATAGTCATTTTGGAATTATAGAATGGACGTAAGACGACCCTAGAAGTCTGATTTGATTTGAATTAAAAACATGGGCTGTATAGTTTATTTTTAAACAGAATTTTTAAATAGTATAATCTTAGATGAGCTGCAAAGTTAAAAATTGCTTAGAAGTACTGTATTTGCAATTTCTAGTGGCTCAATATTGAAAAAGGAACAAGCCAAAAATTTCAGTGGTACGTCCTTCTTCTTGTTCAAAAAGATTATATCCTAAATAGTTTTAGTTTTCTGTCTGAAAATCGAATGACTTCAAGTGGGAGTTCTTTGTAATAAAAACTTTTGCGACAGAGCCATGTAAAATTTATTTTCTCTATTGTTCATGATCCAGACAGGGGTTATAAGGTACCGTTCTACCTTGTTCATGATCCAGACAGGGGTTATAAGGTACCGTTCTACCTTGTTNTTCTCCATTGTTCATGATCCAGACAGGACTTATAATGTACCGTTCTCCATTGTTCATGATCCAGACAGGACTTATAAGGTACCGTTCTCCATTGTTCATGATCCAGACAGGACTTATAAGGTACCGTTCTCCATTGTTCATGATCCAGACAGGACTTATAAGGTACCGTTCTCCATTGTTCATGATCCAGACAGGACTTATAAGTTACCGTTCTCCCTTATTCATGATCCAGACAGAACTTATAAGGTACCGTTCTCCCTTGTTCATAATCCAGACAGAACTTATAAGGTACCGTTCTCTCTTGTTCATGTTCCAGACAGGACTTATAAGGTACCGTTCTTCCTTGTTCATGATCCAGACAGGGGTTATAAGGTACCGTTCTACCTTGTTCATGATCCAGACAGAACTTTACCGTTCTACCTTCATTTGAAATTAGTTTGAGGGTCCTTTTTTAGAAATGTTTTTAACCTGGTAAGTTTGGCAGATAAGTCCAGTAAGATCCGTGAGAGCTTGATTCTGTAGAGTTTGATTGTGTTGACCGTTGACTACGATCCAAGGAACATAATTATGAGGAGGGTTCAAGGATTCAGTTTTTAATCCGAACTCATGCATTAAACCATTCCCTTCAGCACCCTTAAACAAAATCCTTTAATAAAAGATTTCAAGAAGCTTATTTCAGTCAAAGTAATATTAAAAAGATATTTTACATTGGGTAACTTTTTAAGGTAACTTCCCCAGCTTACATTCTTTAGTTTACTACTTACAAGAGTAGACTTTCCAGCTTTTGGCTATTTTATGAATTAATATAGTACCAAATCTAACTTAAAAGTATCTTCCCTAAGGAATAGCTTCCGAAAAATAAAAATTTATAAGTAACTTCCAAAAAGTTAGTATCCTTAAGTATTTTCTCAAAGGAAACCTCCCAAAAGGTAAGTACATAAAGGTAACCAGCAAAAAGTAACTTTTCGAAATACAACTTTTCAAAGTTAACTTCTCAAAGTTTACCTCCCAAAGGTAGCTTTTTAAAGTTAATTTTCTAAAGTTATTGTCCAAAGGGTAACTTCCCAAATTCAATTTCTTTACATGAATATTCCAAATTTAACTTCCTACAAAGTCTCCTCAAAAATTAAGCATTCCTAAGTTAACATCCTGGCTATAAGATGAGTTTCTGAATGCTATTTTCCAAATTTGTTATATTTTCAAAAGAAAACAATCCTATAAAATATATCGGAAACTTCCAAAAAAGAGACCTTCTCCCCTCCTAAAAGATATCTTCTAAAAAGTAACTTTAAATTATAATCATAAAAAATGTTTTCCTTTCAGATTGAACAATAATCTTCAGACATGCAGTAAAAATACAGAAGGCTTAGAGCATATAACTAAACTAACATCTTACGAAAAGTATGTTGTTAGTGGTGATAAATGATTAATAGTAAAACTCCTAAATAGAAGTTATTTTTTCTCATCAATGAAATTTAATCTATTAATATATACTTTAGGTATCTGGATGTCTGTTTGTTTGTTTGTATACAATAAACGTCAACACTGCTGAACTGATCGGGCCCCAATTTTTTTGTGAAACCTCGCGTGACACCAGGGAAGGTTTATGGATGATCGAATTTTCAAAAATTTGCTTCTAACAAAATTCGATTTTTGAAAATTTTGAAAATCCACGAAATATTTTTTTAATCCACGATTTTGATATAAAATAATTAAAATGAATGTTTACTTGGTTCTTACTTAACTTACCTTTGCGCATTTCTTGACGAGACTGTAATCTAGTGAGCTACTAAGCGCGGCAACACATCCCTTAGCTGAAGCTATTGGGTCATCACTTCCTGGAAATAGAAACTATATTTGTATTTTGGTGCAGTGAGAACCAGAAAACAGTCGTCTTCCTTTCTTAGCTATTTAAAGAATTATGTTATTTGCTACTGAACTATTTAAAAAATTGGTCAGAAAATTTTTCAAAATGTATCTTAGTAATTCTTAGTAAATATGGACAAATAAAGATGAAATTCATTCCACAGTTTTCTGGTCCTCTTTTTAGATATGTACATTGTACATCATAAATAAAAGTCTAACCTTCCATACATGCTAGAACAGGAAGATATTGAGTGCTGTCCATGTTTAGGTGATTCATAATACAAGCCTAGGAAAATAGAAAAACACAGAATTATCAGCAAATACTTGTTGAAAGTAAGGTAAAGATTTTTTTTGATAGCAAGAAAAATAGAATCTCAACAAAAAATTTTATAATATGGTTTGGTTTTATTGATTACTATTTCACATGTAATACTATCAAAAAATAAGTATTTAGATATGGATGTTTTCTATTAATTACTTTTGATATTATACTGTAACAATGGGTGATTTTGTTGATCTTTTACGATCAGCGATTCAAGGATCTTTTTAGATCGATGAGATCATAGCTGGCTAGGGTTCATCACCCCCCCCCCTTTATACCCTTCGGTTGGACTTTTGAATCCTATTTTGAATCCTAACGAATTTATTTGAGTTTGCATGTGAATTCTATAAATAACCCAAGCCAAGCTGAAAGTTCCGTTATTCCAGAGACAAAGGGGCTGGGGGGCTAGCCGGCCAGCTCCTGGGGAACTAGGGTTAAATGAGAGCCCAGGATGGAGCGAAATGAAGGGAAAAGAGTTAGTTGATCGTCAGCTCCCTTAAACTGAGGTTCCCTTGAAGATTCCCCATCACTCTGAAACTACTTCAATTCATAATATTTGATTCGTATAGTATCATTCTTTTTAGTTTTGTATCTTTGTAAATAATAAACTGTAAGAAAAACCGACTCGCTGAATATTAATAATACAAGTGTTTGCATTGATTTATTTTTCTTTCATATATAATATGGTGACAAGTTCAAAAAATTGGAAGCCCAAATAGCAACACTCGTTTTTAATAATATTCGGCGAAATAGTTTTCTAACATTTCTGCGCACCCTAACCGAAAGCTAGAGTACTATCGGTAAGCTTGCGCAGACCGCGGCATTGAAAATAGACGCCAACTCATTCTACAGCACAGTTAACAGTTACTTTTCAAATTGTGATCATTTAACTGAAATTCTGAGGTAAAACATGTTAGAAACACAGACGGACAAAATGTTTTTTAAATTCCAACGTATTTTTCAACCGTACTCCATTCTTGTATTCTAGGATGAAGAACAACGTCCCTGAACAACGGGGCCCTGGGGGTAGACCCGATTGGTTCCTCAGCTGGCTAAAAGAAGTGTTTTTACCGGCATCTCGTGATCCATTAGCATCCCAAATTGAGCAGTTTGAAAATGCAGTAGAGCAAATCCCAAACATTGATGAATCGGTTAGAAAGTCGTTAACCACAACCCTGTCCACGGAGGCGAGAATCATATTGCAGAAAGAGGATGACAAGTCGAAGGTGCAGCAGCTGCTTAAAACTCAAACCCTGGCCATTGATGATGCGGTGTCCCCTATGCCATGGAGCCAGTTAACAGAGTCTGAGGCGAAGATCATCTCCAGAGTTGTGGAGAACATTAAGCAGCAAGATTTCTCTACTAAATCCCTCAAACACTGGTCTATCCACTTCTCTGACCTGTTTGATAAATTTTTTATTTCAAGCAGGGTAGGCCGTATCGCTGTTATTTATAATAGCTGCTCAACCAGCTTAAAACAACGTCTCCTGGCGCTAGATGTCGGTCATGAAGCCCAGAAGGACTCCTACTCTTATCTAAGCTTACTGCAACTTATAACCACAGTAGTTCACAGCCCTGTCTCCAAGGATGAAGCCATGATGAATATTTACAAAGGTTTCCGCCAGGCTAGTTCGGAATCAGTTCAATCTTACCTACAGAAAGTACGTGATACGGCCGAGGAGGCCTATGGCCCCAGTTCAGGTTGGACAATGTCACAAGTGTCTCTCCTGCTTTAGAAGATATGTGAGGGTTTATGTTCCTCAGAATTAGCTTAGCCCAAATAGCAACACTTGTTTTTAATAATATTCGGCGAAATAGTTTTCTAACATTTCGGCGCACCCTAACCGAAAGCTAGAGTACTATCGGTAAGCTTGCGCAGACCGCGGCATTGAAAATAGACGCCAACTCATTCTACAGCACAGTTACCCGTTACTTTTCAAATTGTGAACATTTAACTGATAATTCTGAGGTAAAACGACGTTATTTTTCTTTTGTTTAATAATTTATAAGTTTATGAGTATGGCAAAAATATTTTCATCAAGCTTTAATATTTGTTTCGACAGATTAACGTAGTTAATTTGACGTGAGTTAAGATAACATGTTAGAAGCACAGACGGAGGAAATGTTTTTTTAAATTCCAACGTATTATTCAACCGTACTCCATTCTTATATTCTAGGATGGAGAACAACGTCCCTGAACAACGGGGACCTGGGGGTAGACCTGATTGGTTCCTCAGCTGGCTAAAGGAAGTGTTTTTGCCGGCATCTCGTGATCCATTAGCATCCCAAATTGAGCAGTTTGAAAATGCAGTAGAGCAAATCCCGAACATTGATGAGTCGGTTAAAAAGTCGTTAACCACAACCCTGTCCACGGAGGCGAGAATCATCTTGCAGCATACCAACGGGCGTCGCTATCAGTGAGTATTTTTTCACTAACCATCTGCAAGGTAAAATTAGTGACCTAGTACTGTCGGATTTAAACTCAGCAAATGGGGCTAGTTCAAACTCGACGATGGAGACAGTAGGGCAGTTAGAAGTTAGGATAAGGTTTAATCAAATGTCAACAATCTTTTCAGGTTCAGCTGTTGTTTTGAAAAATTTATCCCTGCCAGTTATTATAGGGGTAAATTTTTTAGAAACTAACAGTCTGAGCCCAGTTTTAGAACCATCAGCAGCGAAGGTTGTACACAGCACTACATCGGAGTATCAGGATTTAATAGCTAATGTCTTAACAGATCCAGACCCCTCATTAGAACACCCAGAAGGTCTTTTGAAAAATCCCCTTCCCCTGTAAAAACCCCCCCCCCCTCAGGACTTTGCTATTGATAATGAAGGTGCACCTGTAATGCTGTTAACATCTAAGAACTTTGTAACAATTCCTAAGAAAACAACCAGGGCAATAGAAGTTAATGTACCAGTAAACCCTGCTTCTTTCATCAATGTACAACCCCTTGATGAGGAGCTGCTTGATGGTGCTCTACCTGTAGTCTACCGTCATAAAACACAGCAAAAAGATAAGTCACTTATTATTGTATATACAAACTTGTCTGATAAAGATGTTATTATTTTGCCCAATCAATTAATAGCCCATGGCTCTATGATTTCTGAGAACAAAACTAAACCTGTTATTAATGTTGTGAATAACAGGGTGAGGGATCCGGCGGTCACGGATAGGATTTGTGCAGAATTAAAGCTAAATGAGAACAAAATTTTGCAAGAAAATGTTACTGTCAAAAATATGGTATATTCAATGATAAATGAAAATCAGGATATTTTTACCACTGAGGACTGTAAAGTAGGTAAAACTACCTGGGAAAAATTTAAAATTGAATTAATACCTAATGCCCGGCCCGTTAACCATAAGAAAATGTCACTGTCAAAAATATGGTATATTCAATGATAAATGAAAATCAGGATATTTTTACCACTGAGGACTGTAAAGTAGGTAAAACTACCTGGGAAAAATTTAAAATTGAATTAATACCTAATGCCCGGCCCGTTAACCAAAGAATGAGACCAAATCCGCCGAATTTAAAAGAGAATCTGCACACGCAACTTGATTTATGGTTAACAAATGAAGTTATAGAACCCAGCTCGTCTCCCTGGTCCTCGCCCTTGGTCCCGGTGACCAAGAAGAGCGGGGAGACACGCTGGGTTTTAGATTTCCGCCGGGTCAATGACCTCACCGTGACCGGCAGCTTCCCCACCCCTAATATTTCTGAAATTTTAAATTCTCTAGGTAAATCCAGGTATTTTTCAACACTTGATGCGTCTCAGGCCTACCATACTATAGAGGTAGAAGAGAGCTCCAGACCAATAACTGCCTTTGCGACAACATTCGGTCTTTACCAGTTCCTGCGTATGCCCTTTGGGTTAACTAACGCAGGAGCTTCTTATTGTAGGTTTGTACAGAGACTGGTAGATGTTTTAGGTGTACCGGGCATAGCCGCGTACCTTGACGATGTCCTTGTGCATAGCGAGGATCTTGATACTCATGTTAATTTATTAAGATTAGTTTTTGATGCACACAAGGAGGCAGGAATCAGACTGAACGCGAGTAAAACACATTTATTTCAGGAAGAAGTTGAATATCTTGGTCATCTGGTCAACGCTGAAGGAGTTAAACTAATCCCATCTTATGTTCAGAAGATTGTTGAATGGCCGCTGCCCCAGACCGGAAAAGAGTTATCAGCATTCCTGGGTTTTACTAATTATTATCGTGATTTTTTACCAGGTTTTGCGAATGTTACGGCTGAACTAAATAGTGTTAAAAATAATAGGTTTATTGTGTGGACTCCAGAAATGACCAGCAATTTTAACACTTTAAAACAGATGTTTGCAGCAGCCCCGTGCAGAGCCACACCAGACTTCTCTCCAACCGCAAAACCTTTTATTTTAACTATAGATTTCTCTAAAACTGCAATTAGTGCAGTTTTATCCCAGGAGCAGAATAATATTGAGAAATTTTTAGGTGTTAAAGGTGTTACGCGTATATTCTGAGCTTTTGAAAATAGTCAAATTCACTAGTGTTTAATGAGACTCACTGTAAACTTGAGTTGGAGCATTCTGATTGGTCTGTTAGAATCAGAATATGTAAGCTCGTCTATTATTGGTTCTCCTTACTGAAAGCTACCTGAGAGATGATAAATCAGACTCATTCTTGAGACGGGCCTTGATTGGATAACATCTTATGTTACATGCCCCGTCACTTGCTTTGTTTTGTCAGATTTATTATTTCAGATATTGTATGCTTGAGTAAGACAGAAACCCTTTTTATCCATTTATCAGGACGCCAGCATATGTAAGTAAGACATTTGTTTCTGCGGCCCTGGTTTAAATTTCCCGCTGTGCAGTAAAAGGAATATGCCCCGTAACTTTCTCATTCTCACATGTTAGATACCGCGATTTCATGACGAGCAGTTTCGTTTATCCTCTTACTTTTGATAATATATTAGTGTTTTTATATACTTAAAATAGTTCATTTTTACTAGATTTGATCAATTATAAGTCTTCGGTTTGGGCCCGGAGCAAGTATTTTATTACCCTATTTCTGAACTCGCATTTTCTCATTGCAAAATTCAGGCACAAGTCTTTGGTTTGGGCCCGGAGCAATCATTATTTTCAGTTTTGCCAGCAATTTCAAAACAGTAATTAATAGGGGATAATTTAATTTATGTTGTATGTTTCTGAACTCGCATTTTCTCAGTGCGGCGCAAGTCTCCGATTTGGTGCATTTCAGAGCAAATCCATTCTAGTAATCAATCTCCTTGTTATTCTCAGTTTTGCCAGTAATTGCAAAACATTGATTTAAAGGAGATTATGTAATTTTATATCATATGTTCTTGAACTCGCATTTTCTCAGTGCGGCACAAGTCCCTGAACCAATTGGTTTGGCACAACTCACATTATAATTTAATCCCTTATCATTCTTATTTTTGCCATAAATTGCAGAATTATTGAACAAAAGGAAGTTAATCATTCTTTTTGTCTTTCTTTTCTTTCCCATTCTAAGACACCAACCACATGACTGAACCCTGATTGGCTCAGGCGGTAATGAAATCGCATACAAGTGTGACGCGTGTCGCAAAACAGAAACAGTCTCTTTTCCTCAGCTACAACGTATTCAGTCACAAGTTTTTATATCCCTGATATTACAAGAAAACTAGAAAATCTTGTTTTCAGTCTCTTCTCCAGAACCCATTATAGTAGTAGTTGGAGTAATTGTATCCTCTTCAGTTCACATTCTACGCTCCGACTGGACTGGACTTGTATCTGATGAGACTTTGAGAAGGAAGAGAGAGGAGGAAATAGCATTGAGGGAGAAAGCCAGAATTCTACGAGCAGAGGCTGTTACTAAAAGAGAACAAGCTGTTCATCTTCAACGTGAAGAGGAGAGGCTGGGTGCCGAAGCTGATGATTTGGATAGAGAGATTGTGGATATGGAATGGCAGGAACCCATGTTGGAACAGAGGATTGCAGAGGTTGAATCAAGTCATGAAACATATGTCCGGGAAAATAACGACACTGAAGCATAAATCAACATGTATAGAGATGCTTCGAGGTGGAGACGAGATCAAGAGGCCGGTCTAAGACAAGAGGATAAGAATAAGAAAAGAGAGGCTGAGAGGCTGCGTGGTGAGGCTGGGCAGAGCTGCCTCTCAGGAATAGATCATAGATCTCACGGAAATATGGCACAAGCGAATCCAATACTTCGCCAGGTGGAACAGCTGTTAAATGAGGCAGGAGAGCTTGATCGACAAGCAAATGAACATCTGAGTCAAATAGAAAAGAACAACGATGAAGTTCAAATTCTGATGGCTCATGCAACTTTCTCATTCTCACATGTTAGATACCACGATTTCATGACGAGCAGTTTCGTTTATCCTCTTACTTTTGATAATATATTAGTGTTTTTATATACTTAAAATAGTTCATTTTTACTAGATTTGATTCTGCAGTTCCTAAGTTACAGAAGAATGATCCAAGTTGACAGTTCGGAGCAAACTTACAGGATACAAATATTCAGTCACCTAGGATGGATTCTAGGTAAAAGGGTTTTATTATATTATCGACGAATTTAGTTCTGAGAAGGATTCGTCGCGAAACACCAGACTACTGATAGTTCGTCTTCACAGTTTCATACTTTGTGGGTCCAGACTACTCATAGTTCGTCTTCACAGTTTCATACTTTGTGGGTCCAGACTACTGATAGTTCGTCTTCACGGTTTCATACTTTGTGGGTCCAGACTTCAGATAGTTCGTCTTCACAGTTTCATACTTTGTGGGTCCAGACTACTGATAGTTCGGCTTCACAGTTTCATACTTTGTGGGTCCAGACTACTGATAGTTCGTCTTCACAGTTTCATACTTTGTGGGTCCAGACTACTGATAGTTCGGCTTCACAACGTCTTAGCCTTTGGTTTTACCTCACTGACTTTTATATCTTTTTTAGTAGCCCTAGACACGTACATTTTAGAACTTTAAAGATCTTATTCATGCTTTCAAGAAGGAATTGGCAAAATTCAAATCGATTTTTGTTCCCCAGTGTTAGAATAGTAGCGATTATTGCGCTATTTTAAATGTAGCGTTCAGTCCACTTTCCTAAAATTGTGGCGCTTGTTCCCCTTTTCTAAATAGCAACGCTCAGTCCCTTTTTCTATAATCAGAGCAGGTGCTGTTTATTTTTTAGCTGTAAGGAAAAATGTCCAATATTATTTATGAATATAAATATTATGTTTATACATCATAGTACATAGTACATCATACCCAATATCAATCTCATTGATTGCATATTACTGTATAGTATACACAACAAGTCTCTGAAAACATTGGAATCAAATGTTGACTTAGAAATCGTCTTTTGTCTTCGTGGCATTTTCTATCAAAAATAAAATTTCAGAGACGACTTTACGGCATTATTAATTTTTTTTTTTTAAATTTGATGTTAACTTTATCTCTTACAACTTTTGCCTTTCGTTACAAAATTATTAAAGTACATAAATACATAAAAAGGTCTAATATAACAATGTTAACCAAATATAACCTTCAGATCGACAGAGATTACCCTTAATCATTTCCTTTCCAAAATTAACGAATTGTCACTAAATAACGAATATAACCTTTTCTCCCACAATTTATCTTTTACAACTTATTTTTTATTTCTACTTGTTGTATTTGAACCTGCAATGAAAGATTGTATCCACAGAATGAAGATTATGCAGGAACAAACCTGGAAGAATTGTATCACAACCTGGGAGCTAAATAAAATAATCTTTTTAAAATTATTTTAAAATGTTCTAAAATGTTGTAAGAGAATATTAACAAAAACTATTAAAATGTGCGATTATTTCAATAAATAGAGAAAATTTATCAAAATGTGCGAATATTTTAATTGATAAAAAAGCTCTATCAAACCAAAGAATTATAATGTAAAGATAGATATTTCAAAAGACAGTAAACAAAGCTCTTTGCTGTATCTGGGGTGTCAAAAGTACACAAGACGGATGTCACAGCATGACATGGGATCCATCTTTCACATAAAAAATCAATGAAATATTCTGGTCATAGGTAACTATAATGTGAATTATCAAAATTTTCAAAAGTAAATGCTTTTATCCTCCTCGGATACAAGAGGAACACTGATGCATTTATTTTTGTTTACAAACACCGCCCAGAGATATATGGTTTCAATATATACACAGAGAATAATCAACAGCAATAAGCTTTCCTTGCTAATTTTGGTTTTAGTGAAAAACAAGATATGTCAACATTCATCAGATATACAGTTCGAGCACAATGTATGTGACGAGCATGGACTGAAAAATGGAGCCGAAATTTCTTTCTAGGAGAAATCCTGTGTCATTTTTCAAAATGTATAATCTTACCAAAATATTAATTATTGAGACTTAATTATCTTTATTGATTTTTTAAATGTTCATATCAAACACTTTAATACTTTAATACAAATACGAATTGCGATTTACATAAAACTAATTTTTTTTTCATGTAAAGCAATAAAACGATTTCATGAATAAATTTAATAATTCTTTTTATGTTTTTGCTTTTCATTTAAGAATCATTTTGTTAGGGATATGTAAAAGAATTAAAAGCAAAAATTTGATTTGCTGAATTTGAATCTATATATTTTTAAAGTGTACTCTCGCCAAAAGATAAAAACTTATGAAGTTATGATTAGTAAAATAAGGTAAAAGTTGCATTACCCGCAGAACTTTGAATACCGGTTTTTCTTTTTGAGGAACTATACATGTTTCTGTATTATAGATCAGTTCTCCAACAAGAACTCATATACAAGGAACTATACATGTTTCTGTATTCTAGTACAGTTCTCCAACAAGAACTCATAAACAATGAACTGTACATGTTTCTGTATTCTAGTACAGTTCTTCAACAAGAACTAATATACAAGGAACTATACATGTTTCTGTATTCTAGTATAGTTCTCTAACAAGAACTCATTTACAAGGAACTATGCATGTTTCTGTATTCTAGTACAGTTCTTCAACAAGAACTTATATACAAGGAACTATACATGTTTCTGTATTCTAGTATAGTTCTCCAACAAGAACTCATTTACAAGGAACTTTACATGTTTCTGAATTCTAGTACAGTTCTCCAACAAGAAATCATTTACAAGGAACTATACATGTTTCTGTATTCTAGTATAGTTCTCTAACAAGAACTCATTTACAAGGAACTATACATGTTTCTGTATTCTAGTATAGTTCTCCAACAAGAACTAATATACAAGGAACTTCACATGTTTCTGTATTCTAGTACAGTTCTCTAAAAGGAACTTATATACAAGGAACTATACATGTTTCTGTATATTAGTACAATTCTCCAACAGGAACTCATATACAAGGAACGTGATGGCATTCACCGGGAAGGCTCTCAGAGACATGGCCAACCATCCTATATACACACTAATACATATTTTTTTTAATCAGGGGGAGGGGGTAGCTGTTTTAGCCCCCTTCGATCTGTTGTTTACAATAAGCATATTTATGAAGCCTCATGCAAAAATGTTACAGTAAAATAAAAAAAAAATTGTTCCTCTATCGATTAACTCATTTGACGATTTATAATTTTAATGGAATGTTTCCCTATCCTATGCAGGACTTGGTTTAAATTTTGATGGCACGGCCATACTTATTACAGTACCCGACCTATCAGGCTTCCATTTCGCGAAATTACGGCGTAATTTCGCGTAATTTCTACAACGTAATTTCGCGAAATTTCGTAATGATTATGAGTAATAATGAAAACTATAAGGATGGTATAAAAACTGAATTGAGGATAAATGTTGAAAGTAAAACTTTTTATAACTAAATAAAAAGATTCCTCGTCAAAGGAAAAATGACAGGATGATCTCTAACACACTTTTTGTAGAAATAAATTAAAAACTATTTTAACAATAATTTTTTTCTTGATTCTTCAAAAATAGGAGGCAGATTACTATTTCAGAATTCCCAAAATCCGTCTGAACTGAAGGCATCATATATATACTTTCTATTTTATACATTTCTTGAATGAAAGTTTCAAGTTGTTTCCGGTTTTAATAAAATTGGAAAAGTACCTCTTGTGAACACTTTAGCTCCATCAGTAGCGTAGCTCTGTCTGGAATAATAAATGGTTGGTTTTCACAAAATTTTTAATTTATCACGTGAAAATTAAGAATTCTTATATCTCTTCTGACTCGGCAGGTTCTTTTATTTATTTCAAGTGTCACAGAGAAGTTATGAAGCAACTTTTGTTAATTTCCAAAATTAAAGGGAGTGTTTACTTTTTATGAAAAAGGGGCGAAGTACAAACTTTCCTCGTAATATCTTTCTTTTATGTTACAAAAGATGAATTGCGTAATATATTTACATGCTCATTAGCACTTTGATATTTTTTGCCACAATTTTTATAGTTTGGTTAGTTTTAAATAATACTAAAAGTTTATAGTCACACCAGCTGAAGGGCCCGGCGTTGCCCGTGGAAAAAAAATTGAAAAAAATAAAATTATGATTTTTTAGCCTATAACACCCCCCCCCCCCTCCACCCATGAGTGTCCACACAAAATTTCAGCCCAATCCGTCCAGCCATTTGGCCGGCTTTACGCGACATATACATGAATGTCTTGTTTTATTATATATATGGACTAAGTCTATAATTAACAGAATTGGATTAAACAACACAATTTTTATCCTATGCAGATAATATTATTCTAAAAGTATGTTCAAGAAGTTTATGCATTTTGTATTGTGAAGTCAATATTATAAAACTTAATTAAGATATTTGACCTCTAAATTAAACCTTTCAATTCAAAAGTTCCATCCTTCTAAAAATTTATTTACCTGGCACAGTCCACCATGTTTTTGTACCGAGGTCGTGCTGGGTCATCTGCCTGCAGCCTAGATAAGGTTTAAGGTGTATTCCAGGGAGGTTTAAGTGTATAATGTGATAATGTATACCATCATTTTTTACTACAACGAGAGCGTACTGCATATTTGATAAATATACTATAGGTCGTTAGGCCATCTCCTTCTGTCAAATTTAGAAAACAGTTAGGCTGTGAGAGTTAGGGTATTTATTTGTTAACCAACTATGCATTATGATCAATGCTCAATCTTAAACTTCATATTTAAGTACATAGTAAGATATCTGTTGGTTTGGTTGTATCTTTGATCATAACTCATCAACCCCTTTATAACCCAAAAATTGGGGAACTCATTCTAACCACAGACAGGTTCTTTTTGATTCAAATCAAGCATTCCAAATTAAGTTTGTCGACATTTATCGGTCGTCTTACATTTTGGTGTCCAAAAATATGGATATTTCCAGAAAAAGTTGGATAAATCATAAATTATAACTTAAATATTTTAATGAAGCAAAGCATCTAATTCTGCCCCTAGACGTCTAGCCACAAATACATTATTTAGATTAATTTTCTCATTTCTTAGACTATATTGATTGCAATTTTTCAAACAATAACAGTTTAAATTTTCAAGCTAAATTTTTAATTAATGGGGTGACAAAACGTATTGCAAGTAATTCATTTTCAAAATAAACCTTTAATCAGGGCTGAATGAACGTCAGGCTAGTATAACATCTAATGCACAATTAACTTAGAGACCGTAGACAGAGGCAGATTATTGGAGGGACCCCATGGAAACTAAAAAGAGCATGCAGACACCTTCTAGTCCTTTAAATTTGATTTTTAAGATGGTTTTGAAAAAAGTTCCTTGCGGCTAAATGAAACGATCAAGCTAATATACGCTTGATTCACTTCTAAAAGAGGTTTCAGAGAGAATGGGTCCCCAGGTTGCCAGCGTGCACCACCCCCACGCTTAAAATGTGAAATGCAAAATGGACGTTAATTAATTAATTGTTTAAACTCTGAAGTGAACCAAGCATTGTTCAGCCATGTCAGTTGTATCCTTAAGTGTACAGGAATTAGGTTCTTGAAAAGTTAGGTGTAAGGGGCGCCGAAAGATCCCTTTAATACTGAGTGTGTAAGGGGCACCCTGAGATCCCTTACTTTATTTGACTGTGTAGATAGTGATAAAGTAAATAATGGCAGAAACTCAGGATCCTGATATTGTACCAGCACCTGAGGAAGAGATTTGTCTTTGCTGTCATAAAGTATTTACTGTGAGAAATGGTTGTGTTCAATTCTTTCTCTGCAAGCTTTGGGCACATGTTAAATGCTCAGTGTCCGAATTTAATGAATTTAAGCCGCGTCTAAAATCCCCCAAAAACTGGGTTCAATTGAGCGCCGGCTTAAATTTCGAAAAACTGAATACAAATTTAAGTGGAACAAATAAAATTTGATCTGCGGCTTAAATTTAAACCGCGGCTTAAATTCTTTAAATTCGGCCTCGGGACTCTCATCTAGGGTTTTCAACGTAATAGATTATTCTCTTACGCGTAATTACGTGCAGTTACGCGTAATAATTTTCATTTCGTGTAATTTCGCAGGATTACGCGTAATTGGGGAAATATCCATTTCGCGAAATTACGGCGTAATTTCGCGTAATTTCTACAACGTAATTTCGCGAAATTTCGTAATGATTATGCGTAATAATGAAAACTATAATTACGCGTAATTACGGCGTAATTTCGCGTAATTTCTACGACGTAATTTCGCAAAATTTCGTAATAATTACGCGTAAAAAGCGAAACTATAATTACGCATAATTACGGCCTAATTTCGCGTAATTTCTACGAGGTGATTTCGCGAAATTTTGTAATAATTACGCGTATTTAGCGAAACTTCAATTTCGCGTAGTTTCTACAAAGTAATTTTGCGAAATTTTTCCTTAATTACGTCTATGAAATTTTGATGTTTTAACTTATAATTTAAATAAAACAACTAACTTACAAGGAAAATAATGTCACGCAAGTTGAATCAGAATTTCAGCCAATATATATTCTATAAAAATTTTTAATTTTCAACGACTTGTTAATATTTCAACCTACTTTCTCAAGTTTACCTTCTCTCCTGCGTAAGTGAAAGAAAGTGTTACGTTTCGTTACGCGTAATTACGCGTAACGAAATTACGACTGGAAACCCTACTCTCATCTGAATGCATGAAAGCCCTTGGAAGCAAACAGAATGATGGAATTGCTTGAACCTGCAGTAAGATAAATCTGAAGATAGATGCTAGGCTTGAAAAACAAGAGGAACAGATTGATAAAGTTGAAGAACTTCAGGAAGAAGTAAAGAAGCTCAATACAAAAGTAAATTTGATCAAATCTCTTAACTAAACCAATGATAATGATTGGGGTGCGCAATGATTGGCGCCAAGGCGCCAACCAAACCCGCCACCAAGGAGATAATAATCTTTGATTCATTCATTTTCTGCAAATGTTTCTCGAAATTTAACGAAGGAGCTCGAAATAACTGGATAGCTCGAAATAACGGAGTTGCAGGAATAACGAAATGCGCAAAAACCCAGATCTTCTTCATAATTTTCGAGAAATAGCTTTTCTGCACCAATACAAAATTATATAGAAATTTCGTGTAATATTTATTATACTCGAAACGTAAGAAAATCTTTGCGCAATTATTTCACGATTTGCGTGCAAAAATTTTCGATTGGATACCCTATGTACAACATGACCACACAAGTGGCTCTCTTTGCATGACTACTTCAAGCGAACAAGTAATTAAGGTTTTTTAAATAAAAACAGAAATATAAAAGGTGGTGTGTGTAAAAAAATACCGGGATTACCAATGTTTCGGACAACAATTTTTATTGCTTCGGATTTTAGACCAAAAAAATAAAATGTGATAAAAAATTTAAAATATTTTTGAAACATTGAAAAAAACCGCGAATCCAAATTAAAAATTGTTGAAAAATTGTCCGGACAATGCTTATTCTTTTGTTTTCCAAAAATTCATCATAAATTGAATGAGATATAAAAAAATCTGCAAAAAATGTTATCAAATAATACATTAGAACTGGAAAACAATAGACATAATGTTTAAAAATTATTGGAGCAGACTGACCTGGATTTGAGAACATCAAAGGGAAGAACCGACAACCAGGCCATCATGCCAGCAACACCGCCTGGTGTACAGGGAGATCCAATAAACATGGGTAAATTCAGATTTTATTGATTGACATATTTATTTTTAAAACTGGCTTGATTCGGTTATTTGAAAATTTTAATGGTTTTTGGACTAGTACCATGCTCATAACCTCTTCTGGCTCCAAATACTGTAAATTATAAAAGTTTGATTTTTTGAACTATGCAAAACTTTTATTGTGCAAGGAAAATGTAAGGGGAAAAAGAACCAAAAAGATCGTTTTAAAACAAAACTAAATGAAAATCGAATAAACTCATGTGCTGCAGTGCTAAAACCTGCATATTTGGGCTTCAAAGGCAAAAGGGTTGCGACACTTTTAAGAGGCCCAGTCTGGAAAATTTCAATAGTTCTCCGGAACAATGGGATATTATACTTTATCTTAAAATACCAACATTTAAAACGTATAGCCAACAAAGATAGGATAACGCTGCATGTACAAAAAGGGGTCGAAAGTGAGGGTTATGCATTTTTAGAATTGGGCATTTAAATCACTGTAATTGAAAATTAACCCAACATATGTATTTAAATTAAAAAAGTATATAGATAAAATGAAGAAAGTGTCTTAAATGGAATAATATTTGGATTGTTTGAAGGGTAGAGTAGGTTACTGTACACTATCCTCTCTCCACATTGTTCAAATTGATGTAAAATAAATAATTGAATAAATATGTCCATAGAAAGGACAAAGCGAAAAATTAACCTGAAATGAATTGTTCCATTTTTCCAGTTTTCTCTCGACCTCCAAGCAAATGCAATCCGTACTGAAACATAATTACAATTTTCAAATATTTATATTGAACCTGAGGCTTAAATTTTAGATGCGACTCAAACATGGTTGGTTCCACTTAAAATTGTGTTCAATGTTTCAAGATTTAAGCCGGCGCTCGATGGAAACTGGTTTTATGGCGGATTTGAGACGCGGCTCAAATTCATTAAATTCGAACTCTTTATACATAACGGGCATCGGTTTGAGGTCTGTTTTAATAAGTTTAAAATGTTTAGAGTTTAAGAGGTTCTAAAATAATCTGAGATTTAAATCCTATTGTAAAATTGAAATAGTTTGATGAGTTTGCTTTTTGGCATTATGCTAAATTTTTACTCTGACCAAAATTTTAACCAAAATAAATAGTAAAATCGTTTTGAGAAATCGTATTGAAAAATCGTTTTGGTTTCAGGAAGTGGTTGGCTAGACATGGTAATTAAGCTGAGTTTTAAGAAATCATTTGAGACATATCATATGTTTTTACGGTGCAAATTTGTTCTGCAAGAACACAAATTCTATTTTTAAAATTCTCAGAGATTGTCCATTGTGAAGAAATTATTCTGAGAATATACAATTTGTAAAATTTTCAAAAACGAAATTTTTATTCAAAGAAATTTGAAAATTCTTTTTAAAGGCATCTGTGCTAAAGTATATGTAAAATTTCTTTGCAGAAATTATACTTCCTTTTGTGCAAGCTTAAAAAAGTCTAAATCCAATGACCGGAAGTAGGTCTAAAAACATATTTAGTCGGCAAAGGTAAAAAAGGCATTCAGGCAGTATGCCTGAGGACCCATGTAATTTGAAACACTCAGTTAAATGACAAACTAACCTCGTAAATGACCATATAGAGACCGAACCCAGGCCCGTCTCTCCAGACTAAGGGGGTTAATCCTCGGTACACACCTCGAACACCCTGCACATCTTATAGTTTTTACAGTGAACAGTGTACAATTTTTGCAAAGAACTGTATACGGTTTTTACAGTGAACAGTTTACAATATTTGTATGTACAGGGTGTCCCACGAAACATGACAGTATGCAGGACGACTTGAATGTCGTCTTGATTTTTGATATAATTTGCTGCGTTTATTTGTCAACCTAATTTTAGAAGTAGATTTCTACAGATAATAATCACAAAATTTCCCTTGTCCTGCCATTTCCAAAATGTGGTCTGCTGACTGGTTGACTGGTTTTCAAGTACCCCAGCAGGGATAGGGTTAAAAGTGTTAGACATGAAGTTATTTATCGCAGTACAAAATTGTAATTTCAAAAAGTTTACTTTTAATACACATTGCAAAATGTTTTCCCTTGTCTAAGATATTAAACGAAACGATTTTTCAAATCGATTTATTAATACATTATTACTAGAAAAATCTTTTTTGTTAATTTCTTTGGGTGGGTTAAATATTTGCATAGTGTAATCAAACTTATTAACATGCAATTTTGAAATAGGATAACTATTTTAGGTTCTTGTGAAGCCCATCATCAGATATTTCAAATGCAAGAAAAGATTATCTAAAGAAATACTGAATTTTATCTTATAAAAAGGGGGGGGGGTACGTGTATTGGCTCACCTCATATTTGTAAATATGTTTACTGCAGTCCCAGGGCCCACTTATAAAAAAATTGCAAAAAATAATTCAAATTTTTGTTGAATATTAAATTTTGAAAAGTAATGAATCTTAAATTATCCTTTTTTGCTTTTCTTTGGCAAATAGAGATTTTATTTATCGAAAATAACAAAAATAACATTGAATAAATTTTTCCCTGAATTTGTTTAAGCGCTGAGTCTGCAGTTTAACTTTAATAAGTTCTATCGGACATCCTAGGAAGCAAACGTAGTTTAAATTTTATTAAAACGTAAAAAACTAAGCTTTTGCGCTTCGCGCCTCCTTTCCGATGATCAAATTTAGCTTTGAACTCCGAAAGTCGTAATTTTAATTTTTCTTAATTTCCAAAGATTTTCTGTTTAAATTGGTGTATTTTCAAAAATAACATATTTCGACATTTTTCCGGGCAAATTTTCCTAGAAGGGTTAAGTGAGTTGTCGTAAAATTGGGCCCGATCAGTTTTCCCGTTTTGACGTTTATTGGAAACAAACAAGCATACAAACACAATAAGACAGACCTGCAAAGTATCTATAAAGATGCAACATTTACTTACCAACTATCAATTGAGCTCCTCCACCCAGACAACCAGCTAGAAATATATCAGGATAGGAGAGAACCCTGTCCACACCCTGTAACAACCAGCTAGAAATATACCAGGATAGGAGGGAACCCTGCCCACACCCTGTAACAACCAGCTAGAAATATATCAGGATATGAGGGAACCATGCCCATACCCTGTAACAACCAGCTAGGAATATATCAGGATAGGAGGGAACCCTGTCCACACCCTGTAACAATTCTTGAAATATATCAGGATAGGAGGGAACCCTGCCCACACCCTGTAACAACCAGCTAGAAATATATCAGGATAGGAGGGAACCCTGCCCACACCCTGTAACAATTCTAGAAATATATCAGGATAGGAGGGAACCCTGCCCACACCCTGTAACAATTTTCTTTTTTTTAAGAAAACCCTATTTAAAAAAAACAAAGCAATTTAAACAACCTTTTTATGTCCTCTTCTTAAATCCAAAAATCTGGATTTGATGTTATTTTCGATATCATTCACGTAGAATATAAAACTCTGCAGAATATATAGAAAGAGAAGGTCAAATATATGCGACAATACTGGTAGAACTTTGTGACCTCGTAGCTCCTCTAGTTTTGCTCTTCTCAATAACATCTCAACAAGAGGAGTTAAGATGGAAAACATAAAAGATTTCAATTCTAAGTGTTCCTTTAGTTTAGCGTTAACAGCAACATGAAGTTAAAAAGATAAATGCAGATTGAGAAAATGCCATAAACAATGCTCAAGAAATGACGGCTGCATGCTAGATGCTAGATGGGCAACAAATTGATTCGTTCCTCAAAAACTTTTAAAGGGAGTGACCGGCAATATATGGTGGTTGAACTGAGATTACAGTATTGTAGAGAAATTCTTTTTTTATTTATAACTTCACCAACTACAACTAACAATTCAAACCCTGATAATTGCTATAAATAATTATCTTTTGCAAAACCTGAAAATTGCTAGGAATAATCCTTTGCATAACCTGTCCTAGACTGTTTACGGTAGAATATCTCATTAATTCATAAAAAGACCACTTCAGAATAATATCATCATTCAATCAAAAAATTGATTGCTAAGATGTGAACTTTGGTAATGCTGAATATTTTCTTAAAATTTGATGTTCACTTGATCTTTCGAGATTCTTGATCGAAAAGAATTGATTGATTAATGTCTGAAGGTTCTGAGCAAAATTCGGGTTTCAGAACTTTATTTTGGACCTTAAAAACGTTTCAAAAATATTTGAGACTTCAAAATAGTTTTTTTTCTTAATATTTGCCTTTGTTACGTATTTTAATTCTGAGAGAAAATATTTGCAGGCAACTATCGTTTTTTTGTTAGTTTTGATGCCTTTTACAAGTCCTCATACCTTAAATAAAAGGTAAAAAAAGGAATCTTGAGATTGCCCATCATGCACTCATCATTATCATGAGTACCTGTATGTATTGAAGTGAAACAGCATATACACCAAAGAATAGAGAGTTTAAACCTCCAGCTGTTAACATTGGTGCAAGTAAACCCTTGAACAGTCCAGCGCCTCCTTCAGTTCTAAACAATGGTTGACATGAAGGGACTGTGATCTGTTACCCTCCATGAAATACGTTATTTACAACGGTTCCCTTTAAACCTTTGACACATTATCGAGGGCAGAGAAAATATCGGAAAAGTCCGTCATCCTTGAGCAGTCAAAAGTTGTGAATCGGGCATTGACATCTTTTAATCGAGGGTTACTTAAAATTAAGCTTACAGTTCCTTTAAAGGGTTTGTTTGTTTTTTACAAACATTTTGTAATATGATCGAAAGCATTTCGAGATTACGAATATTAGATTCGAAATTACGGACTTTAAATCGAAAGTGTAAACATTAAATTAGAAATTGCAAACATTAAATTAGAAATTATAAACATTAAATTAGAAATTACGAAAATTAAATTACAAATTACTAACATTAAATTCGAAATTACGAATATTAAATTCGAAATTACGAACATTAAATTCGAAATTACGAACATTAAATTCGAAATTACGAACATTAAATTCGAAATTACAAACATTAAATTCGAAAGTGCAAACATTAAATTCGAAAGTGCAAACATTAAATAAGAAAGTACGTACATTATATTTGAAATTATAAACATTAATTCGAACTTAAGAACATCAAATTCGAAATTACAAACATTAAATTCGAAAGTGCAAACATAAAATAAGAAATTACGAACATTAAATTAGAAATTATAAACATTAAATTCGAACTTAAGATCATTAAATTCGAAATTACAAACATTAAATTCGAAAGTGCAAACATTAAATAAGAAATTACGAACATTAAATTAGAAATTATAAACATTAAATTTGAACTTAAGATCATTAAATTCGAAATTACAAACATTAAATTAGAAATTACGAACATTAAATTCGAAATTACGAACGTTAAATTAGAAATAATGAACAGAATGATCGAGATATCTTACAATTTTTCCAACACAACATTCTGTCCTTAATTTTGAAGCAAGTTGGACAAAATATTAGATTTTTTTCTAACCGTGAAGGATCATTGATATCTAGGGGTAAAAAGTCCCTGATTTATTTAGAAAACCGATGATGGTGAAAATAAATAATAAAACTAAACTATTATTCTATTGAAACTTGAAATGAGAAAATTCGAGTTCAAATATTTGTGTTTATATGGCTTTCTACTTTTGTTCATATGAACTAAAATCTTCAGTTTTCAATATTTAGAAGTCATTCATTTCCTATTTGCTTTCAAAAATATTTATTGATAAAATGTTTAGAGCGGTGAACGTTTTTTCCAATTTTAAATAGATCTAACTTTAACTAAATCAAGCAACAAACGAGATAAAAGATATTGTTTTTAAATTATTTTATTAACTCTTTCTTCTCCCTGAAAGAAATTACTTTTCAAAAATATCCAGCAATTAAAACCTTAAAAAATGTCGAATGTTTTTCTAAAGAAAATATTTTGCCATAAAACTCATAAACCTTGGAAAACAGAAAATATTTACCCTTTCTTTAAACATATAAAGCAAATAAAGAGAATAAACCAGCCTCCAAAGGAGTAGATCTTTGCCACAAACTTATATTTTCTCATCCCCATATTTGTGCAACCTGATGGTGTAATTTTTTGATATTTCAACCTTAGATTATTTGACCTAAAAGAATTCGCAGTTTAACATATCTAGGATCTAGGACATTAGGTTGCAAATACACATATAAAGGGATTAGAAAATCAGAGTTTTAATTCCTTTATTTTATTGTTTTAATTTTCATATAAAATAAACCTGACGCTTTTTACTGCAACCTCCCAGAGTGTACCTCCCTTGCCAAACTGCTGTTTAACCTAAGATTTTTATTAATATTGCAACATCCATTATATCCTAAAAGGAATTGTAAATCTAATTTAAAAAGTTATCTAGAAGGTTCCTACGTACGATTTAAACAAAACATTTTTCATAGATTTTACAGTCTGAGCTGGGAACTTTAGAACGCTTAATCCTCTCTTTTTGCTAATCTCGAGATTAAATATTTAGATCATCAAATTTGATTCTAGAAACGCCAGATTTGTTCGTTTTCTTGACTGGAAGGGCCTTCACTTAATTTCTCACCAATTTATTTGTTAATTTATTTGCTTTATTTGTTAAAATTGCGGATTTCTCTCCTGGGATAGAATTTGTTTTCAAGGCTGTCATTGGTCAATACAATTTACGAACTATATTTCTACACTCTCATTGAAGAAAACAATGTACAAATATCCAAAGAGAGAGAAAAAAGAGTGGATTAAGGACTAAAATTAAAAGTTTCTACTTTTCAGTTTAAGTAGTTGGGATTAAAGGTTATCCATTCTAAAGTTCCCAGCTCTGGAGAAACAAGAACCGAAATTAATCAATGTTTACATTGTTCAGTGTACAGTTTACAGTGTGGAGCATACAATGTACACTGTACAGTTTACAGTTTACAGTGTGGAGCATACAATGTACACTGTACAGTTTACAGTTTACAGTGTGCAGCATACTTTGTACACTGTACAGTGTACAGTTTACAGTGTGCAGCATACATTGTACACTGTACAGTGTACAGTTTACAGTGTGCAGCATACATTGTACACTGTACAGTTTACAGTTTACAGTGTGGAGCATACATTGCACACTGTACAGTTTACAGTTTACAGTGTGGAGCATGCATTATACACTGTACAGTTTACAGTTTCCAGTGTGCAGCATACATTGAAAACTGTACAGTGTTACAGTTTTCAGTGTGCAGTATATCTTGTACACTATACAGTGCCCAGTTTACAGTGTGCAGTATACCTTGTACACTGCACAGTGTACAGTTTACCGTGTGCAGTATACATTGTACACTGAACAGTGTACAGTTTACCGTGTGCGATATACATTGTACACTGTACAGTTTACAGTTTACCGTGTGCAGTATACATTCATTGTACACTGTACATTGTACAGATTACAGTGTAGAGTGTACATAGGGAAGTATACAATGTACACTGTACAGTGTAAAAAGTGTATAGTAGTGTACAGTGCATGTACTGCATTGTACCTGCCTTGAGTGTATCTAAAGGATGACCCACAGCTACTCCAGCGCTACCCCCTATACACCCAGCAACAAAATCACATGACGTCATTTCTTCAAATCTTAAGTAAGTTTAAAAAATTTTACTTTGTGTAAAGAAAAAACCCGAACGTAAATTATTGATCAAATTTATATTTTTAAGCCTTTCAACTACTTTACCGACCTTTTAGTTCTTTTCTTAACTTAGATAACTTGGATAACTCAAGGATAAAACACTGTTTAAAGAGTTTTAAAATAATTCATAAACAATTATATTCCAAGAAAAGTTTCTTTAAAGTTTATGAATTTAGTTTTCAACTCTTCCATTTCTCTAATTTCATTTTTGGATAAAATGAAAACTAAAAATTTTTTTGAGATTAATTCCAAAAATTGTTTTGTTGTTTCTGTTGCACTAAAAGCCATATACATTACAAAAATGAGATAAAACGACTAGTTTCTTGATCATAAAACATTCATAGACAAAATATGTGATAAAATCATACTAGAATTATCACGTCTGTGATTGCAGTTTAGATCAAATAATTTCCTAAGCTAAGAGGCTAAGCTAAGCTAAGAGGGTCCTAAAACTTGAATAGGGATGTAAAGCAAAATGAACTCCTACAGTAAAAAGTTCAATGAACCGCAGAATTTGTGCATTGTAAACAGACCCACTGCATTTGTAACATCATCAAATACATGACGTAACTCGTAAGTAATGCTTTAATGTCGTATACATTTCCGCAGTTTTCTGGTTCTCACTATATTAACGTATATCTGGTTCTAAACAGTAAACATTATTGAACTGAAGTTAAGGGGGGGGGG